TGTGTGTGTGTGTGTGTGTGTGTGTGTGTGTGTGTGTGTGGTCATTCACTCTGGTTCAAAGCAGCATCCTAGTCATACTGCTGGTAATAAGCTTGTATTCCAGCAGTCTTATGAAGAGATGGCAGCATGAACCCGTGCATAGATACAGTACATGACACTGAATTACTGTGTGTATGTGTGTGTGTGTTTGTATCTGCTACTGGAGCTTCATTTCTTTGATAAAGATCCGCAGCGCGTCTGATTCCTCTCATTGCTGCCCTCCGTCCATCTCTTTCTATTCATTCCTTTTATTTCTTTTATCAGCAGAGAAATGAAACTTCAGAGTTTGTGTCCCTCACTGCTCCAAACCTTAAAGGGCTCAGATGATGGAAAACAATACTTTTTATTGTACCTTTTCTGAAACAGAGCTCAAGACATACTCAAATACTTACTCATTCTCAGAACTTCCCCACGGTCCACCAAGATCATGTGTTAAAACTAAAGGCTTGTTCACACCGGGACGAATATCACGCGCGATTATCGCCGACGTTTAACGCTTCATGACTAAACAAAGGGCGCCAATGTGAGTGTGCACACGACGCACAAATCGAGAGGCATAAAAGCAGAATTTTTTTAAAACACCTCGGCCTCGTTTTTTTGGTTTGACGCACTGCGTTAAAAACTGGCCAACCAATGAGATCGGCGCTTTTGTTCATGTGCCTGGAGCTGCTGAAGTTACAGTAAAACACAACTTGGTGGCGCTCAAGCACAAAACGGTCTTGCCAAGCACACACTGATACCTAACGACAAAGAGGAAGTAAGTAGACCAAGAAGACGCATCGAGGCCAGATGAATGTAGAGCTGCTGGTCTCATTGGTGTCTGAACATAAAGGGCTTTATGACAAACGTGACAGCGACTACAAAAATCTCGATAAGAGGGAGTTGTTATGGAGAGGAATTGCAGATCAAATAGGATTCGATGTGTTGGTATTTCTGTTTTTCATTAAGCGCCATCTAATGTCAGGGAGTGAATTTGCAAGTTCACTCGGCTCATCGCCAGCGAAAATCGCTTGGGTATGAACACAAAAACACGTCGAAAAACGTCCTGGTGTGTACGAGGCTTAAACTGCAAAAATGGCTCATTCAGAAATCACAATCTTTTAATAAGCAACACATTTTTGAAATCATGGTTTTTTTTTTTATAAAAAAACCACCCTCTTTAACCACACATTGTCTGAGTGAGTGATAGTTCACCTATAGTCTCACATTCTTGAGACTTTTTGACAGATTTATCATTGTCTATGTATTATTGTATCTGGTGTTTTTATCTCATCACATTTGATGTAGACTACAAACTCGGATAGATTTAGAAACAGCAATCAATTGCAATAGAGGTCATTTACATATAAAAGTCTGGTCGTCAGACTTTATTTAAGGACCAATTCTCACTATTAACTAACTATTGAATACGAATTTTGCCTCAATAAACTCCGTTTTTGCTGCTTATTAATAGTAAGGTAGTTGTTGAATTTAGGTATGAGGTAGGATTAAGGGACCTAAAATATGGTCATGCAGAAAAAGGCATTAATATGTACTAATAAACAGCCAATATGCATGCTAATCAGCAACTAAAGTGTTACCAAAAGTCTTAAAGGTAGGTACAGTAGCAAATTCAAAGGCCATGAGAGAAGAAACTAAGAAGCTGTTTTAATGCAATAAACCTTGACGAATCATGCGTTGGATAATGTTTTTAGTGTAAACATATCCTCCGGCTGCTCTCTCTCAGTTCAAGAGTTTGAATAGGAGTCCATTTCATACTCATCTTTCCCTAATACACTCCATCTCTCTACATCGCTTTGTCTTTGTTTGACTCTCTCTCGGGCAGCACTGAGACCTGAACGATCTGATTCAGACTCCACCAGCAGCAAAGCAAATAAGAAACATGGCAGCATTTATATGGTCAGTCAGACTGAAGGAGACAGTTGCTGAATTTACACAATTCAAACCCTAGCAACCACTTGGAATACCTTAGCAACCACATATCGCCAGCTTAAGCAGTTACCCGGTATGTGCTTGCAACTGTTGTCTACCAATTTATCTAACTTTTACCTTCAAACTTCAAGCTCTTAAATCATTTTCAACATTCAGTAAAGGTTTTGTCAATTTACCGATCAAAATTTTTAGTGTTGAACTTACATTTGCCATTTAGTTTTTTAAATTTGTTTATTTTAAATTAATAACCCAGTCAGAATTAATTTAAATGTATAATAGATTATCTGAATAAAATTAAATACAATAAATCAAAATATTTACAAGTAAATTTGACTTTTTTTTAAAAGTTATTTAATAGTTATTTTAATAACTTTTATTTTTGGATGCGATTAATCGCGATTAATCACTTCCAAAAACAAATGTCTACCAATTTATCTAACTTTTACCTTCAAACTTCAAGCTCTTAAATCATTTTCAACATTCAGTAAAGGTTTTGTCAATTTACCGATCAAAATTTTTAGTGTTGAACTTACATTTGCCATTTAGTTTTTTAAATTTGTTTATTTTAAATTAATAACCCAGTCAGAATTAATTTAAATGTATAATAGATTATCTGAATAAAATTAAATACAATAAATTAAAATATTTACAAGTAAATTTGACTTTTTTTAAAAAGTTATTTAATAGTTATTTTAATAACTTTTATTTTTGGATGCGATTAATCATTTGACAGCACTAATTTTGACAGATTAATTCTTATTCTTCTCCGAACATCCTAACTTTGAAGGTGCTCAAAACATTATTACAATGATACGGCTTTGTTCACACATACTGTAAAATAAAAACAAAACTTTCCCCAATGTCTTAAAGGATTTAATAACTTTTATTTTTGGATGCGATTAATCGCGATTAATCATTTGACAGCACTAATTTTGACAGATTAATTCTTATTCTTCTCCGAACATCCTAACTTTGAAGGTGCTCAAAACATTATTACAATGATACGGCTTTGTTCACACATACTGTAAAATAAAAACCAATGTCTTAAAGGGATAGTTCACCCAAAAACTAAAATTCTGTCATCACTTACTCACCCTCAAGTTCTCTGTTGAGCACAAAAGATGATTTTGGAAGAATGTTCGTAACAATTGTTGGTAGGAATTGGCTTCCATATTATTGAAGAAATACCATGGAAGTCAATGGCTACAGTCAACTGTTTGGTTACCAATATTCTTCAAAATATCTTGTTTTGTGTAAATGATGACACAAATTAAATGTTTTGGGTGAACTATCCCTTTAAGCTAATTCACCAGAATTTCACCAATGTATTCAGCTCAAGAATGGTCTCTAAATGGAAAAAAACCCCTACATTTCCAGTAAAGAGTTTAGAGACTCACATGCTTCCGGTGGCCGAGCTGCTGTCGGTGGGCAGAGAGCCATTGGAGCGCTCCATCTGTGCCAACCTGAACGGACAGAGACCCAGATCAATTTAACAATATCACACTGTTTATTAGCATTAAAATAATGCAGCATATGGATTTGTGGACCTCTGAGGCTCTACTATGACCGAGCATGTTTAGTCATGTGTTGGGTGATGAATGAGAATATAAAACTATAAAAATGCCAATTCAAAGTATGAGTTCTGGTCTGGCCATGCGGGTTGGACACCACCAATCGAAGCTCAATACTGAATAACTCCGCATCGTAGGTAGTGCTAGTGTAAGGAGCTTTACTTTCACACACATGCCAACCTGAACGGACAGAGACCCAGATCAATTTAACAATATCACACTGTTTATTAGCATTAAAATAATGCAGCATATGGATTTGTGGACCTCTGAGGCTCTACTATGACCGAGCATGTTTAGTCATGTGTTGGGTGATGAATGAGAATATAAAACTATAAAAATGCCAATTCAAAGTATGAGTTCTGGTCTGGCCATGCGGGTTGGACACCACCAATCGAAGCTCAATACTGAATAACTCTGCATCGTAGGTAGTGCTAGTGTAAGGAGCTTTACTTTCACACACACACACACACACTCAGGACTGAAGACTCGTCCCAATGGATTACCGTCTCATAGAGTTCCTATAATGGGATTGAGGCTTCAGTCGTAGTCTATATTCACAATCCTATAATAACTGCCTGTGTGTGTGTGATAGTGACATTGAGAGAAACTAGCTGACGATGAAAATCCATTTTCGAGTATTTACGGGTAGAAGGTCAGCGCTGGAGGCAGTTGGTGCATTTGTGCATGCATAGTAAGTTTTTTTTTTCTTTGAGCAAGTGTAAATCGAATTGATACGCACCTAATATACAGTATGTGGCAGCAGATTGAATTGGCTTTGGCAGAGAGTCAGAGGTCTAAGAGAGCATGTGTACGTTTATACTGCTCATGTGTCACCGCTCTCATTTGTGTGGTGAGGTATTATGACAACATGAGGGCAGCTGATCTTATTATACGCTTACAGCACTGAATACTGTAAATACTAACTCTAATGAAGACAGAGAATGTGAAATTATTCAGAAATTACAGAACTTGTTAATACTTGTCATTCTCAAACACAAATTTTTACATTTAGTATTAATTGCTAATAATTACTACAAAAAAATATTGCAAAATTTGTACTAATATTAGGTATTAATTGTGCTAGGGCAGAATAAGGCCATGTGCAGATATATCGTTATTAACTTGTGTACAATGACAAGAAATAAAACAGACACAAGTCAATAAAGTGCTGTTATTTCACTGTCCAGCGGTCATGATTTAATTGTGCAATTTCTGTATTGCATAAGTTTTTAATATTTCTCATGGACATTTAATAATTTTTGACTTTTCAGTGTGAGTTAAATCTCCTTTTTGGTGCATTTTACCTGTAAAAGAAAACCTGCTTAATAATTATACACACTTGAGTGTGAGGCATTTTTCACTTCCAGCCCTGGTTAACAATTATTTATCACTTACAAAAGATTAAATACAAAATGAATAGTAGTTATTAAGATTGATGTGGTTTGGAATTGGTAAAATGTGCTTGGAAAAAAATACAACCATAATATCAACATGCATAATAATAATGCATGCACTGTGTACACACACACACTCAGGACTGAAGACTCGTCCCAATGGATTACCGTCTCATAGAGTTCCTATAATGGGATTGAGGCTTCAGTCGTAGTCTATATTCACAATCCTATAATAACTGCCTGTGTGTGTGTGATAGTGACATTGAGAGAAACTAGCTGACGATGAAAATCCATTTTCGAGTATTTACGGGTAGAAGGTCAGCGCTGGAGGCAGTTGGTGCATTTGTGCATGCATAGTAAGTTTTTTTTTTCTTTGAGCAAGTGTAAATCGAATTGATACGCACCTAATATACAGTATGTGGCAGCAGATTGAATTGGCTTTGGCAGAGAGTCAGAGGTCTAAGAGAGCATGTGTACGTTTATACTGCTCATGTGTCACCGCTCTCATTTGTGTGGTGAGGTATTATGACAACATGAGGGCAGCTGATCTTATTATACGCTTACAGCACTGAATACTGTAAATACTAACTCTAATGAAGACAGAGAATGTGAAATTATTCAGAAATTACAGAACTTGTTAATACTTGTCATTCTCAAACACAAATTTTTACATTTAGTATTAATTGCTAATAATTACTACAAAAAAATATTGCAAAATTTGTACTAATATTAGGTATTAATTGTGCTAGGGCAGAATAAGGCCATGTGCAGATATATCGTTATTAACTTGTGTACAATGACAAGAAATAAAACAGACACAAGTCAATAAAGTGCTGTTATTTCACTGTCCAGCGGTCATGATTTAATTGTGCAATTTCTGTATTGCATTAGTTTTTAATATTTCTCATGGACATTTAATAATTTTTGACTTTTCAGTGTGAGTTAAATCTCCTTTTTGGTGCATTTTACCTGTAAAAGAAAACCTGCTTAATAATTATACACACCTGAGTGTGAGGCATTTTTCACTTCCAGCCCTGGTTAACAATTATTTATCACTTACAAAAGATTAAATACAAAATGAATAGTAGTTATTAAGATTGATGTGGTTTGGAATTGGTAAAATGTGCTTGGAAAAAAATACAACCATAATATCAACATGCATAATAATAATGCATGCACTGTGTACACACACACACACACACACACACACACACACTCACACACACACACACTTACATGCACACGAGCACACATTTTTTACTGAATATTATGTGATGTCTTTGAATTACCTTTATACGTTTTTCATTCTTTATAAGGTGACATATTTACACATTACATGCACTTACTATAGTAATAACAGTAAATGATGCATAATTACAAGCAACTAACCCTAAACCAAACCTTAATTCTATCAGAAGTACACGTAGTTGAATAATATTACATAGTACTTAGTGTACAGTTTTAAAATGTTCTTTATTGGCATTGATGGTTCCATGAAGAACCTTTAACATCCATGGAATCATTCCATTCCACAAAACGTTCTTTATTGTGGGGGGAAAAAAACATCACACTAAGAAAAACAGTTCTCTTAAGAACTGTTCACTAAAGGAAACCTTATTCTTGGGAGTGTAATTACATTGTAGCAACATCTCCTTAAAATAAAGTGTAACCACAAATTGTAACCATTTTTTCCCTAGCAGTACAGATGCATGCAGTTAATTTGATAATTCCTTTGACATTTACGTGATTGACAGCCCTAGTTTTTACTAGTCACACATCTGTAACTATGCCATTTCTTAAATGACATCAGTGTGGTTTGTGTACTGTAATGTCGGCAGTGAGATATACCTGCTGGCGTATTGCCCTATCCGTGAGTGTGTGTCGTCATGAGAGAGTTGTGGTGATGGGGAAAGCCTGAAAACATAAACACACATAAACAAAAGCACACTCCAAAATAATCAACGACAAACAGAACTCTAAACATGAAATGTGTCTGATGATCTACAGTGAAGACCAAGTGTTATTGGGATGGACGAACTGAGGAAGAAGGTTAGAGGAAAAATAAAAACCAAAAAGAGTTGGGATGGGGGGGGTGGGGGGTGCAGGTGGATCTGCCATTCCGAGCATGCATTGATGTGAGCGGCATGCTGTGCTGAGGAAGACGAGGAGAGGAGGAGGAGGACTGAGGGTTGACTGTTGATACTCACTCGTACTGCTCCGGACACATGCTGATGAGAGTGACCGGACTGCAAGAGGGAGGAAGAAAAACAAAACCAAGGGAAAGGAGGGGGAGTGGGGGGAGGGGAGGGAGGAACAGATTTGTTTAAGGTCAGAGGTCACACAATGTGGAGGTCAGATCCACAAACAAGGATGTGGAGGTGTTCTGGCTGACATACTCCTCCAGTACTGTAGGGGGCAGTGCAGAATACTGAGAAATACTGGATTTATTGAATGACTGACAAATGATTACCAAAGTGTAATATAATGAAATTTTGCCATCATTTACTGACTGTCATATCATACTAAATCTGAATGACTATTTCTCCTGTGGAGCAAAAAGAGATATTTCGAAGAATGCTCAAGCTGCTCTTCTCTACATACTGAGGGTTCATATGTTGTTTACACGACAACAATGTATTAAAAATGAAAAAGTTTTTCCTTTGTTTTGTTTTTTTTGTGTATAGACAACGATATTGTAAAAATGTATGTATTCCCATTCACACGCATCCGTGAAAACGACTTAAAACGCAGTATTATGCATGCCAGGACAGGAGTTGGCGATGTCACATTATAAAGAGAAACGATGCTAACCCGTAATGCGCATGCATATTTTCACAAATTTGTGCTTTTGCAGTTTACATGGAGACGATAACAGTATTGTTCTCTTTTTCAATAGTCTGTGCTATCAGGCCCTGCAAAACACTGCTGTCATGTAAATGTTTTCATTGTTTGGAAAAGAGCAGCATGAACATTCTGCTAAAGGTTGTGTGGGTTTAAAACAACACGAGGGCGAGTAAACAATGAATTTTTATTTTTGGGTGAACTAACTTGAGCATGTTATTTGCATTTCTTTTGCGCGCACACAGAGCAACATTCGGCCTCAGAACTAGGCGGATCAGATCTCCAAACCAATCTTTAATCTTTCATTTATTTTCATTCCATTTCAGTGCCTTTTCAAGTGAAAACTTGCTGTTAATCGCTTATAGCGCAAAGCGCGAAAGATCAAACGCTCTGCTCCGCCTCGACAGGGACAAGTTTAATCTGCTGGAGAACCCTAGTGAACTTCAGTGTCTCTTGGAGATGATGAAAAGTGTCATTGTTTTCTTTTAAAGAAAACCATATAGCAGATGAGACGATAATTGCAGGCTGGGGTATTCAAGGCTAGATCGGTTCATGTTTGTCTTTTCTGCGAAAGCAGGGGCATTCCCATCTGTCACACTGCAGGACCGAGGCATTTGACTCTTTCTCACAACTGATGTAGCGTCAGAGGGTGATGTGGAGACGAGAGGTCTAGGATGAGACCCTCAGAGAATGACTTACAATGACTTTCGTTTTATGTAGGAAGGTCAGCAAAGGCCAGAAAAGAGTTTTTCTTTTTAATAATGTTTAAAAGTTGTTCGAAAGAGCAAAAGTCAAGATGAAACGGCTTTCAGAGCTCATTTAACTTCTGTAATGTGACGCTCCGAGAGCGAAACTTTTATCCATCAGGAAGTGAGTGGATCACGAATGACAAGATTTTAGTAAGGCTTTATTACCAGCAGCTTAAAAGATTATTTGGCTGTTGGTTAAAGTCAACATGAAATGAAAATGCATGTTATTCTAAATGCATGTTATTGAGCTTACTGAATGATTAATGTATAGGTTTATCAAGCAATAAGCCCCGTGAAGCCGTGGTTTACAGTGAATTTATAACAGCTAAGGGGCGTTGTTAGATGCGAAGTGGAGTGCCTAAACCCCCTTAGCTGTTATAAATTCACTGTAAACCACGACTTCACAGGGATTATTGCTTTTATAAAACGGTTATTCCACATACGTAGTAAGGTTTCACAAACTAAAACAGAGCAAATAAAGTGTAATGATAATAAAAACATTATTCTTCCGCCAAACAATGTAGTTCCTCAGAACCGGTTGTGGCTGCAACAAAGTGGTTGTTGAGCAACACACAGAAGTAAACGAAGGTGTGTGTTTATAGAATAATGTACAACAGCTTCGAACGCGGCTCAACCAATCAGAATCAAGCACCGGAACTATCCGTTTTATAATTCATTTTTTTGGACAAGATCTCTTCCAGTGAAACATCGCCACTTTATAGCTAGTAACCTGGACAGAAGGAAAGCTGCTTCCGTTTTTACATTTTGATGAAAGTGATTTTTGTATGGAATAATGTGCGCTGATAAGGGATCGTAAGATTCACGGATTCGCGTCGATGCATCGGCATAGAAGTTAACGGTGCAATGCATCAATTTAAAAAAGTGTGCATCGGACACAAGTTGGCATTTTTATCGTGATGCATCGTTTCTAACATATTTGCATTGGTAAAAAACGATTAATTTATATAAAATTATTAGCAGATGTGTTATACTTTTATTATTTTGAAAGTGGGGCATATCGCATCGGCCTCAGTTATGGAGATGCACATCCCTAGCGCTGATGATTTGTTTGACCACGGAAGCGTATTAAGAACATAAAAGAGAGTCTATTATGATTTCATGTTGACTTTCAGTTCGGCTGAAGAGGGAGAGATATGAGTCATGTCAAAGATAAAACGCTCCAGTTATCTGGGCTGTTAACTGGCTGGTTTGGAGTATCACAATGTACAGAGCGCTGGACTCAAAGTAATGAGGGATTCTGTAAATTAGTGCTGACAGAGTCAACAAACACGGGCTCGCTAATAAAAAACGGTCAATATCCCCTGGCGCTTCAGAAGTTCAAGAAAACCAAACACTGTGCGCTTTCATTTGGCTTTTGGAAAGCGCTCTGAATATATTTCAAGCACGGTCATCACTCTTTGTTAAATCTGACACGTGGCAATGGGGTTTACTCATGCTGGTGCACACCGCAGCACGCTCAGAAACCTGAAAATCAAACGTTCTGCTATCACCGACGCTCAGATCGGCTGAACGTCACGCTAACGTGGAACGACAGGAAGCCTGTGCAGCGCGAGCAGTCATTTCGGATTTATAATCAGCACCAACTGAGGAAATGGGTCATCTGCAGTTCCCTGTCATTTAGCAGAAGCTTCTTTCTGACACAAATTCACGAAATGGTCCCACTGGAAAACCAGAAGTGCCTTAATCAACGGTAGTATGGAGATAAGGCGGAAGTGGGAACTGCACAACTCTTTATTTTCTTGAATTGGCCACACTTTGGCTCGGTTCCAAAAACACTGAACTGCCTGGGGCGGCATTTTGAGACATCATACAGTAGGCACGTTCCCAACACGGAGGCAAAAGACAGGCTGCATAATCGCGCTGCCTTCCAAGATGCCTTCTTTTGTTCAAATTCTAAGCCGGCATCGCATGTATCTTTAGCGGAAAATGTATTGCGACAAATTCGGTGGAAAAAAACCCATGCAATTTGGCAGGCAAAATGAGAGAAATGTTGATTATGGGCCCTTTTCACATTCCCAGGGTTCTCGGCAGCAGAAGTAATCATAGTCGGGTAAATGTCTATAGTGGTGAAAGGAAACTACAACAAATATAATTCTTGCATTTCCATTTGCCTCAACAGCAAAAGAAAAACAAATCCACAATTGCTTTACTTAGCATTCTTAATGGTGTCACTGTTGTATTAAAAACACTCCGATACAGCAAGTTTTCTGTAATTTAATGCCAAGGTAAGACATCACAAAGTATAGTGTTACATAAGTATAGTGTTATTTCTTTTAATATATAAAAAAATTGCTCGATTTACAATTTACTGAGGAAATGCATCACCGTCCGGGGTCCAAAAGGGTCTATTAAATATAATTAATTATAAAAATTTAATGTGTGTTTGCTGTTTTTAATGCATATTATACTTTAGCATTCTGCTAAACTAACTATGCCATAAACTTGAATTTGTTGAGTTTGTTCAACTGAAAGTGAGAGATATGTGACCTATCTTTGTTCATATGCTGCAAATAATCACTTAACTCTTTCCCCGCCATTGACAAGTTATCTCGTCTTTTTACAAGAAAACGCTTCCCCGCCAAAGATGAGTTTTTACGGCTTTTCTTGTTTTCACTGTTATACACTTGGGGGCGCTATTAAGCATCTTCTGAAGGAGTACAAAACCTCCCGAACAAAAACACACGTGAACAGGACGGAGAAACGAGCGATCTCTTATGTAAACAGATGCATATGAAAAATAATGCGATTATCAGCAAAAGACAGCATATAAATGAAAACTGCATAATGTTACGGAGTAAAATGTTGATCCAGGAAGTGGTATACGTCTGTGCAAGCTTTGACGGTATTGATGGAAGCGATTTACTGGATTTATGCTTTGATAAATACTGAATATTATCCAGATGTAGTTTTTGATAAAAATGAGATTTTCTCACCTTTTTGATCAAATGTATGCAGTTTTTGTAGATAAAAAAGAATGCTTTAAGCTAGAATAAAACATTTTTTTTTTTTAAAGCAAGTAGCTCTGATCTTTATTTTGGTGTATTGCATATTCAAATATTCATACAGCAAAATATACTGGAGGCCATCAAATTTGAGTGAAAACCATCAAAATTGCTGGCGGTGGCGGGCAACTTTTTTCAAAAATGCTGGCGGGGAAAGAGTTAAGAGGTTCTACTTGAGTTATGATAATGCCTTAAAGGGATAGTTCACCCAAAAATAAAAATTGTGTCATCATTTACTCACCCTCATTTCATTCCAAACCCGTACGAGTTTCTTTCTTATGCTGAATATAAAATAAGATATTTTATAGAATGTTGATAATCAAACAGTTGATGGTCCCCATTGACTTCCATAGTATTTGGGGACCAAACAATTGTTTGGTTCTTCAAAATTCTTTCAAAATATAAATGACGACAAAATTTCCATTTTTGGTGAACTATTCCTGGTGCGTTTACGTTTCTTTCTGCTCAGTGTAATTTTGCGGGTGAATTCCAGTCATTCTAATAGGAGCTCTGCATAAGGCTGGAGAAGATTCCTACGCAAATTCCGTGCATCATACATCGCTACACTATTGAAATAGACAATGGACCTTTTTTTGCACACAAATCTGACACACCTTCAGAAAGTCGGCAGTAGAAAGCAAGACACAACCTTCTAGGATTGGGAAAAGATCACAACCAGCTGGACTCTTTAGAGTACAGAGTGGATAATCTAATTAGAGTGTTTAGAATCTTCTAAACGAGTACAAAACCTCCCGAACAAAAACACACGTGAACAGGACGGAGAAACGAGCGATCTCTTATGTAAACAGATGCATGTGAAAAATAATGCTCAACGCAGCACAGGCCTCTACGTAGAGGATACATTGCAAGATATATCAACATTCCTGTACAGACAGAAAATCAGCACTATGAAGCGAGACGTGTTGACATGATAAGATTTGAACAGCAGCTCTGAGCAGACACAGCCTATATTCAAGGTGTCTGAGGCTTGATTACTAATGTGGCGTATCATTCAATTCAAGTTGGAAATTCAAACCCAATGCGTGGAAACCAACAGACTTTGGCAGAAATCAAAAGGCCAGCTGTCACCACCGGAGAACCATTTTGAAGCAAATTCAATGATTTCTTACAGGACTCCACACTAAAAACCTGTTTAGCAAAAACTTGACATACAACTACTTAAAACACAGCAAATAATGACATCTCAGCATCTCAGTTTTTAATAGTCCAATGTGTTAGGCCTTGGCATTCCTGTCTTTCAGGACTTCTACTCAGAAAAGAAGTCAGTCGCCATTCTTCACACTTCTCAATAGTTCTTCAAACCTTGCAATGTGAATAAGCTCAGTGCGTGAAGGCTGTAAAAGCTCTCCGGGTGAAGACAGAGGTGGCAGAAAGCCAATTCAAACAATTGCAACACACAGAGAACGATTTTATTCTCTTTCAAGATGCTTACGTTTCCATGTTGTCTCCTTCGAGGACCGTCTGGACGGGCAGGTATCCCAGGCGAGGGTGCTTGGCGAAATACTTCTTTGAGCGGAACTTGTTTTTTAAGACTTTGGTGAAATCTCGCATGTCTTCTCCTGAGGTGGTCTGAAAATGAGAGGCACACAGATGATGGATGAGGAAGTAGATTTACTTTATTAACAATTGTTCAAAGCATCTTTAATACAATTAAGGCTGAATCACCAGTGGTTTGAACCTCCAGTATTAAACTTTGCTGTGTAGGCGTTGGCAGAACATATTTATGGGTTGCACTCTGAATCTTTTCTTTACCAGTTGTTTAAAGAACAAGGTAATTTACAGCAAGTATTATTCCTCTCGTCAAAATAAAACCCAACCAAATGTACAATTACATCTAAAATACTGTTCAAAAGTTTTGATACTTTGTAAGAAAGTTTCTCACCAAGGCTGCATTTATTTGATCAAAAATACAGTAATATTGTGAAACATTATTACAATTTCTAATAACGGTTTTCTATGTGAATATGTGCAAATGTAATTTATTCCAGTGATGTAAAGCTGTATTTTCAGCATCATTGCTTCAGTCTTCAGTGTCACATGATCCTTCAGAAATCGTTCTAATATGCTGATTTGATGCTCAGGAAACATTTATGATTATTATCAATGTTGAAAACAGTTGTGCTGCCCAATATTTTTGAAGAAAGTTTTATCTGACGCACAGAAAGTTAAAAAGAACAGCATTTATTTGAAATATAAATCTTTTGTAACATTATAAATGTGTTTACTGTCACTTATGATCTATTTTTTTTTGCATCCCCAACATTTTGAACAGCAACGTACATCTACCGACAAACAGATGCATGTTCTGGTATTATAAGAATGAAAACCTAGAGTTGTATCTACTGTCTTAGAGACTCATAAAGATCAGAATATCACAGAGACTTGGCATTGAAATCTTCTATCTGGGCCAGAAAGCCAACTACTTAGAAACCATCCCAGAACACCCTAGCAACCACATACAATAGCAAAGCCTTGGAAGCCATCCAAAAGGTACAGCTCATATTTCCTCTAATTAGGTGACATCCAAACACACACTTGCATCATTGCTTTGCTAACAAATGGGAATTGCGGCTGAAGGTTCTTTACATAGTATCTCTGACCTGAAAACACAAGTTCCCACTCCTTTATATTTAGAACGGCCTAAAATTAGCAGCAGAGGTGTTAGCAGACACAAGCAGTATGCACACACATGCGTTTTAGGTCAGTTTGAGTGAAATGCAGTATAATGAGAGCACACAGAGCTCATTAGCTTCTTTCTCTCAAGCACACAGATCCAGCACATCCAGACTCGTCTCATTCTCCATTTGTCTACTGAGCCGAGCGAGGTGTTTCAGTCCAGGATTGCTCTGTCTGCGACTCAAAGTCTTCCTAATCTGGACATATTCGCCAACCAAATCGTATTTCTGCTGCAGACTGGGAGACCAACCGAGTAACAAGGATGTGACAGCCCATGCACTACAGAGGGATTCTGTCTCTTCAGTTCGGTCTGCTAAACTCTCCAATCAAACCAGAACTTATGAACTTCAGATCTCATGACCACTAACAGTTCAACACGGAGGCTGAAGGATAGAAAACCATATTATAAAACGGAGAGTTCCGTCCTTGATTCTGATTGGCTGAGCCGCGTTCGAAGCTGTTGTAAATTACTCTACAAACACACACCTTCGTTTACTTCTGTGTGTTGCTCAACAACCAATTTGTTGCAACCACAAACGTTTCTGAGGAGCTACATTGTTTGGCGGAAGAATAATGTTTTTATTATCATTACACTTTATTTGCAAGGTGTTATTTTGTGAAACCTTACTACATATATGGAATATCGTTTTGTAAAAGCAATAATCCCTGTGAAGCCGTGGTTTACAGTGAATTTATAACAGCTAAGGGGGTTTAGGCACTCCGCTTCGTGTCGTAACAACGCCCCTTAGCTGTTATAAATTCACTGTAAACCACGGCTTCCTGGGACTTATTGCTTTATTTAATCACAACAGCCAATTTCCTTATCAGTGCATTATTTATTTTTTTTGCTTTCCTTGTTTTTTTTGCAATTTGTGTGAGAAATATCAGCCACGTCTCAAATCTCATATGCAAAATAGACTAATTTAGTGCAGAAATATATATATATTTTTTACCCAATAATGATGTGAAACATGCAAATGTATTCCAAACACCAAGTTATATGTAGAATGTAAGCTGGAAGCCAGATTTTCTTTAAATTAGGACTTAAATCTGTGTCTTTTTCTCACATAACTATCATACGCATCTAAAGACTTTGAATTAGGGCTGTCATGATATCAGATTTTCACTATACGATTATCATGGCCAAAATGATTCATAACAATAACATTACTATAATGGTTTCAGTCAAATTCATCAGAACTTTGTTCATTTGAGTTATTGGGCCAATAAATCACATTCAAAATACGAGTGTGGAGAAATAGTTTGTTGCTATAACTGTACAAAATCATTGATTTTCCATTTTATGATTAGCAGCAACCAGCATTAAGTTGCAATACTGCCATCTGGTATGTTGGAGGGTCAAACAGAGTTACTGGTATTAGCCTTTTTTTTATTTACATTTTTTATAAGATAATTTATACAGTATGTGTAGTATATCAATATTTATAATTTTTTTTAAATATCATGGTTTTCATCAATAATGACATATTGCAACAAATATACAAGTCTTGTATGGTGCAGTTGTGGTGCTTTTTTTGAGCTTGATACCCCAAACCTACACACTTTCAACTGGCCTCGTTGAGTAAACATGAGCAGACAGAATCTTGTTCTCAAAATGGCTTGAATCAATTGGGTTTTCACTGTTTAAAAAGAAAAAAAAAATCAAACAGACCAATATAATAAGCAAGTAAATGTTAATAAATGGTGTTTTTCCATGTTTAGGTGAAGCTTTCCTTTTAAAAAAAAGCACGAGTTGAACACAGCACATTACTCATTTACTCTGACACTGGGCTAAAGAAACACTTTGTATCCCACAACTAATAAAAACCATATCACAACAAAAAGCAATATCACCACAATGAAAAAGCAATAAAGGCGTAACAGCCCAATCGAGGGCCACAAAAGCACATTCTGTTCAATATTGATCTTCTGTTCTACGAACGCTGATGACAGTATGCTGTTGAATCGGAGGTAAATTTGTTTTATTCTTATGTGTGTGTGTGAATGTGTTTCTAGAGATACATCAGTTTGAAAGGAAATGAAAGGCATTGTCTTCCTGTCAAGATGAAGGCGTGCGGACATTTCACAACTGCTGGTGGTCTGTGTGATAGAGGTCTGACAGGAGTGATGAATTCAGGATTAATGCTGCCCCGCTGGACGCCAAACCAAAAAACAGAGCGAGCCAATGACTGGAAAGAGATGATGGAGAAACAAGAGTTTACGTCCAAACAAAAAACAATAAATCGGTCACTTGATAACATTGAGTAGAGGCTGGTGGGCTTCAGAAAGCAGTTTCTAGCTCAGTGCTGTCAACACAATCTTATTATAAAACTGTTAGTTCTGGTCTAGTAATTTAATAGGCCGAGCGTGGTTGTCTGTGCACTCAAACGTTTCACTGAATCACTTTTCTCAACTAGAATTACAATTCTATAGCTCACAACATTGTAAACCATTTTTTGAAACAAAAAGAGCCGGCTGTATTGTGTGTTAAATGTCACTCGATATTAACTACTTCTTTATAGAACCGCTGTATAAAAGTAATATTGCACTTGTGATCGATATTCTGGGGCCAGTAGTATTTTATGTGATGCTTCATAGAACAGCACCAAGAACTTATTACAGAACCCATCCACATGGAGGTTAAATGCTTTGTTCAAAGTCACAATAGTGGCTCAGCCATTTCTGTAATGTTTGAATATGTGCATATCCCAATGAATCTGGTATGTTGGAGGGTCAAACAGAGTTACTGGTATTAGCCTTTTTTTTATTTACATTTTTTATAAGATAATTTATACAGTATGTGTAGTATATCAATATTTATAATTTTTTTTAAATATCATGGTTTTCATCAATAATGACATATTGCAACAAATATACAAGTCTTGTATGGTGCAGTTGTGGTGCTTTTTTTGAGCTTGATACCCCAAACCTACACACTTTCAACTGGCCTCGTTGAGTAAACATGAGCAGACAGAATCTTGTTCTCAAAATGGCTTGAATCAATTGGGTTTTCACTGTTTAAAAAGAAAAAAAAAATCAAACAGACCAATATAATAAGCAAGTAAATGTTAATAAATGGTGTTTTTCCATGTTTAGGTGAAGCTTTCCTTTTAAAAAAAAGCACGAGTTGAACACAGCACATTACTCATTTACTCTGACACTGGGCTAAAGAAACACTTTGTATCCCACAACTAATAAAAACCATATCACAACAAAAAGCAATATCACCACAATGAAAAAGCAATAAAGGCGTAACAGCCCAATCGAGGGCCACAAAAGCACATTCTGTTCAATATTGATCTTCTGTTCTACGAACGCTGATGACAGTATGCTGTTGAATCGGAGGTAAATTTGTTTTATTCTTATGTGTGTGTGTGAATGTGTTTCTAGAGATACATCAGTTTGAAAGGAAATGAAAGGCATTGTCTTCCTGTCAAGATGAAGGCGTGCGGACATTTCACAACTGCTGGTGGTCTGTGTGATAGAGGTCTGACAGGAGTGATGAATTCAGGATTAATGCTGCCCCGCTGGACGCCAAACCAAAAAACAGAGCGAGCCAATGACTGGAAAGAGATGATGGAGAAACAAGAGTTTACGTCCAAACAAAAAACAATAAATCGGTCACTTGATAACATTGAGTAGAGGCTGGTGGGCTTCAGAAAGCAGTTTCTAGCTCAGTGCTGTCAACACAATCTTATTATAAAACTGTTAGTTCTGGTCTAGTAATTTAATAGGCCGAGCGTGGTTGTCTGTGCACTCAAACGTTTCACTGAATCACTTTTCTCAACTAGAATTACAATTCTATAGCTCACAACATTGTAAACCATTTTTTGAAACAAAAAGAGCCGGCTGTATTGTGTGTTAAATGTCACTCGATATTAACTACTTCTTTATAGAACCGCTGTATAAAAGTAATATTGCACTTGTGATCGA